GACATACTGCATGCAGAAGCTCAGCTGAAACTTTTTAATGGGAGCAATGTGGGGTGTGAGGTGGGAGTTGTCATAGCACCAACTGTAGCACCCCTAAACTCACAGGAAGGTAGTGGTACCTCTACTGGTCATGTGCAAAAGGAGTCACAGAGGGGCTGTAATGGGGTGCAGTCTTGAGGACCATCTGAACCACCTTTTGAACCTCCTGCACTATCCTTCATGCTTGAAGGAGATGCCCCCAGCTCTGAGCACCCTAGAACCGGCTAGGTGAAGGCAAGGATTATTTCTTTTTGTTTTTAGTTACAGTTGGTTCTCCCAGGAGTTGGGCACATTCAAAAAACACGCCAGGAACTGTCCTTCTTTGAGGAGCCCACAGTCTAGGGCCAGAGAGACAGACAGATAAGAGGTCAGGGAAAAGGGAGCAACTTCATACAATTTCTGTACAACCCAGTTCATTGCATGCAGCACAGCATTAGTGGGTCTTTAAGAGGAATTAAACATGAGCACAGAAGCTCTGTGGATACCCTCAGGACAGTCACATTATGCGTGTGTTTAAGTTCAGACTCAGTTTTGTAAGTGGCCTGTCCTACCAATGCGTTGTCCCAAAAGCCTGGATTTGAATATGCAAATTGCCTCTGAGTTTCATGGATTTGGACCAGAGTTTCATGTCTCTGATCCCTTTCCAAGTGCAGGTCAAATCTTAAGCTTTTTGCCTTTAGCCTCTCAGTAGCACAATGGCTATACTGCCGAAAGACAGCAGACGACAACCCCCTTTGGGATTGACAGCAGTGCACGATTTGAATATCCTCAGCTCAACTCCTAAAGATTGCCACCAGCAGTGGCTTTTAGATCAGACTACCTTGTTCATGTCATAGTTATGTGATGACACTGGCCCAGGACACAGGATATAGATTTGTCTAGTCTCCTCCTTTCCCTTCATCTTTGAGCAACTGCTTCATCATTTCCTAGAAATTCTTTCTCCATATATCCCAGCTTAAAGGGCAGGAGACATCATTGTATCCAGTCACAGATGCTGGGAATGGGTAAGAATAGTAACAAGGCGAAAGCTTAATGACTTAAAATATCTTGCTGTGGTTGGAGAAGCGCCATCAAGATGACTTCATTGGTGTCTCCCTCGTTCTGCTTGTTACCGGAAAATAGAAACCATTGGAGCCATTTCAACACAGTCATCTTCCCCACACAGGTTGTTGTTTGGAAGCTGTCATCAAAGGCTTATGGTTTTTTGGCTTGGATGTTGGTGCAGAAAAAATATCTTTTGAATGATACAGGATCTGCTCCTTGCCTTCCCCATGAAGTGAATGCCAGCCATGTCCACCACTTCCTTGAAGGCAAACATGACTTTTCCTGTATCGTCATGGAAGGCTCCTGCAGTTCTGTAAGGCAGGACTCAAGGATGGGCCTTCATGAGTCAAGAGGACAGTGCACCTGTGTGTGTACCTGGAGGTGGAAGGCACGGGGGTTTCTTTCATGTCCACACTTGTTAGAGGAGGAGGAAGTATGTACCTGCCTAATGGATCCACCAGATGTTGCATCTTGCAGAACGGGGGTCTAGAAGTGGAAGGAGCAATGGAGGTCCACATGCTGCAGTACCGACTACTGTCTTGGTTGCTCCTGGCCTCGTTCAGTAAGCTCCAGGTTTGGCCCAGGGGATAAGGAAGGGATCCATAGTTTCTAGGGTCAGAAGGGACCTGACCAGATCATCAAGTCTGACCCCCTGCCCTGGGCAGGAATGAGTGCTGGGATCATAATATGTGGCTGGGGTATTATGATCCCAGCACTCGTTCCTGCCCAGGGCAGGGGGTCAGACTTGCTGATCTGGTCAGGTCCCTCCCGACCCTAGAAACTATGAAACTATGGATCCCTTCCTTCCTTATTCCCTGGGCCAAACCTGGAGCTTACTGAACAAGGCCAGGAGTGACCTGACCTTTAAATAAAGGTTTCCTATAAAAAGGAAGCAGAAATAGGCACCTATGCAGTGGCTAAGGCAGTGCTCCATAGACAAGAGACTAGGAAAGAAGAGTATTTCTGCTCTTACTGGGGAGAGAAAGCTCTCCAGTCGCACACTGACCAAAACCTCCAGCCTTAGCAGGCTCTACTAAAGGTGGTGCTGGGCCCACAGAAATAACAGGTGGTTTTCTACTGTGCTGTCCCTTTAAGCGCACACAGTGCCAAGTGCCTGGTTTCTGTGGCTCCTCTTGGGGAAGGTGATGCACATAACTCGCTTTGCTGGGCTTTCCACTTCCCCTTAGCCTCAGACTGCTGCTTAGGGTGGAGAGCTTCTCACTCTGACTCAAAAGTCCACCAAGTGACAGGCACAAATGGGTGCTTAGGGAATATCATGCTGACAGTTCCCCTCCAGGAGGCATTTCTTTTCTCTCTTCTCTTTTTGGAGCATTGCCTAGATTCACTGCTAGCTAGCCCAGCCTGAGAGTACTGGGGTGGGGGGTGGACACTATTGAGTAAAGCATGGTAGAAGCTCTTTGTTATTGGTTAGTAAAATACTTAAAGATCTGGATCCACTGAGGATCTGGCAATGGTCTTGGGCCTGCTGTCTGCTTCTGGTTCACTGAAGCAATTCAGGAGTCAACCGATAATTCTCCTTAAAGAGGGAGCGCTGCTGCTCTTTTCTTTACCCCTGGGCATGCCTGGTGTTTGCTTGTGGCATGTATGCATGGGTGGGAAAACCTGCATTATGAAAGGGTTGAGGGGGCTCTGGCCCATGGGGTGTGGAAAATCTTGAGGAATTAGCAGCTAAGAAGCAGCTCCACTATTACCATCCAGCCACTGAATGAGGAGGATTCACCTCTGGAGCTTCCTCATATGCAGCTCAGCTCTGCAAGCAGGGACTTCTCCCCCTCCACCCCCTGTAAAAGATCCCTCTGTACTTTGGCAAGCTGGCTCTCCTCCATGATGGTCTCGTGGTCTTCAGGAGGTTCCACGGAGAAATGTCAGTTCTTTGGGACAAGATCCATCCTTTTGTTCTGTGTTTGTACAGTGCATAGCACAGTGGAGTTCAGGTCCATGGGGGCTCTCAGGTGCTTTCATGAAAGAAATCATTCAATAAAACTCATGACAAACATGCATGCCTTGCTGAACCGAATCAGCCTCTTCAAGGTCTTACTTTCCCATATTAGTTGAGCAGGAAGGCATGTTTTCCAAGGAGACCTAAAAAAGTCAGGTTGTATATGTTGTATAAAAGCCCTTGTGGTATAGATTACCCACCTTCCGGTGGCTGGGGGTTGTACCCTGGAGAGCTGTATTTCAGTAGTCATATGTACAAGATGAACTTTGGGTATTCATTTGGGACAGCATCTGCTGTAGAATCGTGAAATATATTCATAGGGATGTACTCATGGTTGTTATCACTTTTATCTGCAGGGATGCAACAAGTACTGCAAGAATTGCCTGTATTTCCCAACTGGAATCCAGGTATCGTAGTTATGCCACCCATTTTAAACAGTGACAGAAGTGAACTGTCTTCCTGCATCTGAGCATCTCTGACAGCCTGGCACCTGCATCTGAACTCAGTGAATTGTATCGCCATTTTTCTCCAGTGGCACCAGCACAGCACCTTGGTGAGTATTTCTATCTACAGTCATCTTCCTTAACAACAATGAAACATAGGGATTGTGCACCTATACAAAAGGTCTTAATGTCTAGAGGTTTTCCAGTGAGTATGACAATCCCAACCATGTTACACTGCAATAGGCTGCAGCCTGGGAGTTGAGCTTAACTTGTTCTCTGTTTACTTTTTGTTTCCTAAATGGCATTTTGTAATCTAATATGAACTGTGGGAATCTGCTGGGTAAAACCGGGCTGTTTCCGGGTATGTAGTCATGTTTTTGATAAATGCTCTATATTGCATGCTCTGATTCATTATTTATGTTTTTAATGGTAATCGGGGAACAGGCATTTCCTTTCTTCCCTTTCCTGGAGACAGAGCTACTGCAATTAGTGAATGTTTTTGCTTCCCCTTCATTACTATCGCAATAAAATTTTAAGGCATATGGGCCCAGGCAGGCACTTTAAGAAAAATGTAGCATAAAATAGGGCAGCCTGCTATAGTTTATCCCAAAGGGGAAAATATGACACAAAGTACAAATCCACTTTGGTTGGCATGCTTTTAGGAAAAAAGAATAGCCTTGCAGTGAAGGCCTGGAAATGTGCTGTGGACCATCTAGGTTTGGTTGTGACCTCTGCTACAGATACTGTGATTGACCTTGTTCAAGTCACTTAACTTCTCTAAGTCTAAGTAAAGAGGGCGGTTTTTCCCCTTATGAGGATGTTGAGGCTGCTGCTGTGAGGTGTGGAAATACTATAGTGATGGTGATGCTAGTAAAATTCTTTGTGGTACCTAGAAGTCTGTCCCATTTGACTGACATGTACAAACTGTCTTTTGGTGGCACTTGTCTCGCAGTGAAAGCTTGGTAGCAACTCAGAAAAGTGCAGACTCAAGCAACAGCCCAGATACCTGTAAAACATGACCTATGGGTGAAGCTTTGTCTGTACCAGTATGGGCCTTTGGGCTGCGGGGCATTCAGACCTCTCAAGCCAGAGTCTGTTTGCAGAGATTAGCAATCATTTGCCTTGACACTGGGGTTCAAAGTTGCACATGGAAACAAGTCATTGGCTGCACATCTGTTACTAACCACATCCAATCTGATTAAAACTGAAAAGGCCCTCTCGTGCTTTTCTGCTCTTTCATTTCTTGTGTTTCTCTCAATGGGGAAATCTCACCGGTCAGCATCTGTCTTTGTGTTTTGTCAGCTTCACCTTTCTGGCTCTTCTGGGCTAACACAGGGTCAGAAATGGATTTCTCCAGTTGCTTTCCTGAGATTGCTTTTGTATGTTCCCAGCCCTTCTTCTTGGCCTGACTAGGTGATACCTGTTTGCTCTATACTGCTTGCTGCACCCCAGCAGCTGAATTCAGTCATCACTTCCTGGAGCCAGCAGCTGAAATTGGCCCGAGCGTTGCTTACCCGTGAAACACCCAGGTCCCGCACTCATCTGCCTTGGTGATGTAATTCTCGGGCAGTAGCCCAGAACAGCCAGTAGCTAGGGAAGTGCCATAAATCCAGCCCTCGCTGGTACTAGTTTGCTCCACTGGGGACATGAAAATAAAATCCCCTGGTACCAGCTCGAGCTCATCGTCATTCTGCGGGGTGTAGGGGTAGATCACTTGCAGCGTCTGGGGAAGGAGAGCAGAGAGCACATAAGACATGCAGATTTCTTTGGCAATGCAGAAAGACCAGCTCCTCATCACCCCTTCCCCTGTTCACCACTGTCTACAGGAGTTAAAAATGAGGTTACAGAAATGAAGGATAGACATTATAAATGGCAAATCTTATGACACAAACATATCCCACTTACTGAATGCTGCAAGACAGCTCCTTATGTGGCATGGTCTACTGCTTTGTCCAGTTCAGCTGTAAATGTCTGTAGCTAAGAGGCTGTTATTCTGGGGAAAACATTCAGATCTGTCTGTTGAGAAACTCATCTTGGTCTTCAAACTATTTCCCCGTTTCTTCTCTTGGCTCTTAGTCATATTCCACATTGGGGCACCCTAAGGGTTTTCCCCTTCTTTTCACCCTCATTCAGTGAAACACTTAAGCACCTGCTTATCTTTAGGCATCCTACTGCTTGAACAGACCTCTTCCTACTTGAAAAATTAAGCACGTGCTTAAGCATAGTACTGGATGAAGAACTAGATGTTCACACATTTCAGACTCCCGGTGATCATCTTCTGTATGTTTGCTTTTGTTTTAGCTGAAAGAGCATTCCTTTCTGCAGCCCCTTGGCTTTGAAAGTGGAGCAGCAATGCTTTGTCACCACTGGGCTAGCAAATTGAAACACGTTATGCCATTCTCAGAACTGTTCACAGGTGCAGGGAGGAAACGAATGCAAAGGTGATGAGAACTGTGCTGCTCGGATCATCTTGTTTCTTAATTATTTCTTAAGATGAGCAGGGTCAGGTTTTAAGGTGGGTGGAGAATTAGTGAGTAATTATAATTCTACTTCTAACAGGCACCGTGACGAACACACTTTCCTATTTACTTGCTCATGCATGTGTGTGCATGGATGCACAAGGTGTGCATATGTTTTTATGTATGGTATTGTGCTTTTAGAGGCTATATAAGTACCTAGTGTGTGTGTGTACGTGTGTGTGTATATATAATAATATAGGCCATCTAGACAGACATATGTAATGTATTTGATAAATATGGACATGATTAAATGCTGGTTTGTCAATAAGAACAAAGAGGACTGAAGGGGTACTGGCCTGGGACTCACGATTTGGGTTTGACTCTGCCCTGCCAGAATTTGAGTAAACTGCTGAATCTCTGTAAAATCCTTTGTGCAGGACTATGTGTTTGCACAGCACCAAGCACCACGGTGCCCTGATCTGTTTGGATCTTCTAAGTGCTACACAATAAAATGAAAAAAAGATCCTGCTATTCTGGTTGATTTAGGATAAGGCCAACAATTACCTCATGATTAACGAATCTTATATCTCTGGAGAATATTGCAGCAACCCAGTCGCATCCTAGCTTGACATCAATGTTCTGTGCTAATTTCTCCAGAGTGGGCAAGTGGCTTGCTTGGAAGTGATAGGCCAATGTCACATGCAGCTGTTTCTTATGGGGCTCCACATGTACATCTGGAATAAGACAAAAAAAATCAGGTCAACAGTGAACAACTCTTAAGATAAACAGCAGTGTCCCTCCCCCGTTTCAAAGGCATTAAAGCACTCGGCTTCCCAACACAGGGCATTTGGCCAAACTTAAAAGTTAGCAAAGGAAAACATCTCTCTGCATTACTAATGCACCACTTGCCTCAGTCTGACCCTTAAGATTTAGATTAGAGAAGCAATGGGTAGTAGTGAAGACAGGGGTGCCTTATAAAACCTTATGTCAACTTGGATTTGTTCAGCGTGGTAGGTGCTCTGGCCTTGAGCCACTGCAGGCAGGAACTCCTACAGCCCCCAGCTATAAAGTTACTAGTCTGTTGATTCAAAAGAGGCTCCAGCATCTATGCTGAAGGTCCCCGTTTTGTTCCTGTTTCATGGCCAAGTCACTGCCACTTGCCATACTTCTAAAACACAGTTTTTTGGGAGTCAGAAAACTCAGGAGGTTGATTGGGATTAGGCAGCTACTGTAGTTTTAAACTCCTCTTGGTTTTGCAAGGTGCTTTGGAAAATATCATTTTCTAGCTAAAGGGTAACATTTTCCCTATATTAAGAGATGAAGAGCTCTCAGAAATAAGCAACTACGTGTGCCCCCTGTCTGGCATTGGCCTGATTTTTCCAAAATGAGGTATGCCTACAAACTCACATTGAGATTACTGTTGTTGTATTTTCAGTGGTCCAGGGAATATGCCAGAAGTAATTTTTTTTTGTGACTTATTCGGTACCTTTGAAAATCAGACTGTGTTTTTTTGCCCCCGTTAAAACTGTTTCCTCCTGGTCCTGGGGAACTGCATGCAAGTGTCTCTGTAGGCTGGCAGTGTACTATTTTGGTCATCTTTAAAACTTAGATTGGGGTGTATTTGGCTTCATCAGGGACTAAGTTCATGGCAACAGACTCCTGTGAGAGATTGTGCTATTTTCTTCTCACCGGACTCTGAGAACAGGCCGTCAGCCTCTGAACATATTTAGAAAAATAGGTGTTTGAAGCTAAAGGCCACTTCCTCCCTGTTTTGAGGACTGAGAGTGCTTCTAGGTCACTATCAAGTGAAACTGCTGGGGAGTCAAGATAGCCTGCGTGCATTTAACTACAGCACAGAAATGTCAGTTGTGGATATGGACTTGTCTGTTCTACCTGGCATTGTGGAGAGCCAGACTGGCAGCAAAATCTTCCATGGACTCGGAGGTTATAATATCCTTATGTGTATGAAACCATTATTTTGATGCATTTTAATGCAGGTGTAAGCCTATGAACATCTAAGGCTATATATGTTGCTGCAACCAGCTGGCTGCAGCTGGGATGTGGGTGGGTGGGAGCTCATTAGGGAGCAGAGAGAGTTCTCTGAAACTTTTCTCTGGCTTTGGAGCTGTTCAGATGCAGCCAAGTGGCACTCCCTGGGGACCACACACACAGCAATGCGGGATTGTGAGAGCATGCTCTGCCTGTCCTGTTCCCTGCACCAGGAGATAAAGGAATTGGTTTGACTGCTGCTCTGTCTGTTGGTCACTCCCATGAGCCATGAGACTAGAGGACTGAAGATAGACTTTCAATCCTTTGTACTATCTAAGTGATGAAAAAGGAGGTGAGCAGGCCAGGGAACCTACTTCACAACCTGAGGTGGTAAATTTGCTAGAAGGATGCAGCAGGGGTGGTGGGGTTTCCTTCTACTTGTGGTGAAGCTCTTTACAAAGCTCTTGTAGGCCTTTCTGACAGAAATTTAGTAAGGAAAAGTCAACGGTCTCTCAATTATTGATGGGGAAAGTTTTGTGTCAGAGTAGCTTGAGGTGGTATGCCAGGCAGGAAATGCTAAGCCTCATAGACAAAGCGCCTGTCTGAAAGGTTAAAGAACCACTAAATGTCAGCTTCCCTTTCAGCAGATAACACTGCAGAGCAAGTGTGATGTGCTCTTTAAACTGAAGACAGTAGACTCTATGAAGAAGCATTAAAAAACACGGCACTCTGCAGGGTGCTCCTCTCTTGGGTCTTTTGTCCCGGACGCTCTTATTTAAAAATCGGATCCCATTTCTGTGAGTGTTATTTCTAGGCAGCATCAAAACGTTTGCTTCTGAAAATGCTTCCTGAGGGACTGAAGAACACGAGTCAGAGAGCAAATAGGCCATGGAGGAAGGCATCCTAAATTATGCGAGCCAAAGCTGAATGCCACAAAGGAAGGCAAAATATCCACCTTCCTTCCCCAGGTAGGACACTATCCTACTATGTCTTAATACCTTTCGTTAAACCAGTACTGTATCCTTTGGCTCGTCACTATATAAAATATCATGTATACCAACTGTGATGGCTAGTGCTATCCAGTAAAAAGGATGCACTTTGAGACAGCCATTATGGAATAAGTGAGGATTTTAATAAGATGTATGCGTCGTAGTTTTTGGCATCTTAAATTATAGCTATTCATTGGGCAAAGACTAATGTGTGTCACATACTGGTAATTTAAAAGGGCAGCCTTCGTGACCAAACTCTTTCCTGGCATAAATGATATATCTTAACAGATGGGGAATGAAATTCATTATAAGAGAAGAATATCTTTTGGAATGATAGGGCTGAATTTAGTGCAAATAAAAAGGTGCCACACAGAGAGGCACGTCCTGAGGGCCAGTTCCTTACATGGTGACTTCGGATGACATAATCTGAAATCAGGTTCTGGCTCGGAGGGGATACTGCTCAGGCAGTTGCAAGGAAAGTTGTTTCCAAGCCCCTCCATGAAAGTGCCTTGTGCTTGACTAAGAAAGACTACTTTTGGGGTAAATGGGTCAGTCTCTCTTCCCTACCCAACCCTTCAAACTGGGATGCTAATATTTTTAGCACTTGATACCTTCTGATGGGTTGTAAAGTAATTAATGAATCGGAATCTACTTAGAAGATTTGAACAGCAAAGCAGATGCACTTTACCAGGACATACTAGGAACACTGAGCACTAATGGAGCTTTGATGGTCAAACCTCTAGTAACAGTCTTTGATATATCCTGGCTACTCACCTGCTTTAGTCGCAGCTTCTGCAGCAAAGTCTGCAGCAAACTTCTTGAGGATCTCAGCACTCTCCTCCTTGACAAAAAGCCCAATGAAGTTTGAAGATGTGTAGAGCTCCAAAGGCAGAGGAGTGGGGAACTTGCATTTCCATCGCATCACGGTGGCCTGCAAGGCTTCAGTGAGTGCATCGACCTTGCTGTCTTCACACTGCCAAGAAATTCAGGACAGATGTTTTGTTAGGTACAGAAAATTCATTCCTGAAGTTATGAGCTCAGGGAAGGAAGAGTGGCCTTAAGGAGATTCCCTTGAGCTTCATGCAAGCACCAACATGTGTGCTCTCCTGTTAATTTGTCACATGGCTCACAGATTAGCATTGGCACCTGGCAACCTCATCCCATTAGTGGTCTCATAAAAATTAAAGATGTTTCATTACTTTTCTGCAGATGCTATGGTGATGCCATTAGAAATGTATGTGAAGGTCATTTAGATGACACTGATGCTGGCCTGTGATTTAGTGCAAGGGACACAGATACTAAACTCTACATCTCTCCCATGGTATGCCAGTGGCTTACTGCGTAGCCACAGACCAGACACATTCCTGTTTGTGCCTTGGTTCTCTTATGTAAAATGTGGATAATGCTATTTTCTGCCTCAGTGGGGGAACTGGGTGGCTTAATTAGTGCTTTAAACTGAGTCCCGGATCTTTTAGGACTCCAGTTCAAGGCGTTGTCTACTACTCTAGTCAAACATGGGCAAATAAGATTCCTCAATGGATTCCCATGATCTTATTCTGTTAAGGGAGAGAGGCTTTTGTTTTTTCTTTATAGGATCAGGCATTGAGTGATTTAGAGAAATCATTTGATTCTTAAAAATACCAAGCCATTTGCAATGACTTCAGGCAAGTTAAGCTATGTATTCCCTTAACAGGGCAGTGGTAGCTGACAAATAAGGTACAAAAGTCAGTGTAACAAGAAGCACTGGCTTACCATAAAGAATTGGCAAAGGGTGATATGTGGGAAGATATTGTGAGCTTTGTTCTTCCCACAGATCTGCTTTGATTGCTGCCAGAATTCAGAAAGCTTCTGAGACAAGGGGCCAGTAGGACGCAGGTAGAGGACGTACTCCCGAGGCAGGGGGTCATCAAGAAAGGGGTCACCCACATGAGAGAACAACCTGCGAGAAAGGGAGATATGAGAAGATATGGCTGTTTCAGAAGGACAGAAACTTTGCTTAAGAGATCACTTTAACCATGCCATGGCCCAGGTACCATTAGCAAGGAAAGCAGACATTGGAATGGGATGCAGGAGACCTGTTTGGGCTCCCTGGTTCTGCCAGAGGCTCTATGTAACCTTCACTTGGCTCTAGATTTTCAAAGCAATTAGTGATTTTGGGTGCCCAGCTTGAAAATCCATTTAAAGGACAGGTGCACAGCACTGAAGATCAAATTGGGTGCTTTTAAGCTTTCTCAAGACAGCACCCCAAAATTGAGATGCCTCCAAAATGTCACTACCCACCAAGCATCTAGGGTGTAAACTCACTTCTGTGCCTGAACTCCCTTTCATAATGCAGAGGCAATACTTCTTTCTGGGACTGGGATTACATGGTCTCCTGGGGCAGTACCTGTGTCTGTCTTTGTGGCACCTTGTGAAATAGTGCACCAGTTGTGCTAGTGTCCAGTAGTGTAACGGAGGGCAGGGGAGGGAACTGGGGTAGCAGCCTTGGGTGCTACCTTTGCATGCCCCACCCCCAATACAAACAGCTGCAACCACAGAGGCAGCTCATCACATCATTGATTGGCATCAGTTGCACGACTTCCCAGGGCATGGAGCTGCTCTGCTATGCCTCTGCTTGTGTCCTCCAGGCACTACCATGATATGAATAAGTAACAAAGTTTCCATAGAAAACATTTCATGTTACAGTTGGCAAACTACTTAAAATAAACCTTATCCACTGACTTAATTTTTTTTTTAACGTGTATTACTTCATACCAACCAGTCGCATGCTGCTTGCACGCTTCTTCCGCCTGTGGATGCCAGTGCTTTTTGCCTGAGGAGAGGGGAAAAGAATATTTTGTTATTAGTTTTAACAGGATTAGATGGAACTAGTAACCTCTGCTCTGCAAAGTGAATGGTGCAGTTATCATTAACACCAGAGCCAAGGCCTGAGGGCCAGATTTTGCCTTAATTGTCACTGAATAGTGTCTGAATACCACCCCCTCCTAAAATCCGTGGCTCTACATGCAGAGTAAAACATGGGTGGATTAAAGTAATCCCTACTCATGGACTCACTCAGTGCACTGCTGCCACCTCACTATGTACTATGGTCTATTTTCCCTGCACCATGCTCTGGCCTGCAGTACTAGTGGTAGGGGCCATCCCCATAAAAGCAGTCTGTCGAGGGGGAGCAGGTCCCAGGCTGGAGGTTTTCCCTCTTTCTACGGCTACTCCCTTCTTCCAGGTGAGCTGTGTCCTTGCCAGAGAAGGGACGACTCCGGCCCTCTGAACAGCAGCCTGTCACCAGAGAGATCCTAACTGGCAAGAAGAAGGGAACAAGACTCTAGTCCTAACTCAGTTGAGTGTCGGGTTTATTCTCAGCAGCGGCAACACGAAAAAAGAGAATTCTGTTAAGCAAAGTGACTTCCATAAGGCAGCGAGGTGAGAGCAATGACAGAAATGTGCTGGACTGAGTGTGCGACTGTGAAAACCCATTCACAGTGTTGCTAAGACTCTCGCTTGTGTGAGCTGGTCCATAATGCCCTGGCTCCTGGAGTCACGTGAGAATGGATGTTCATAGCCCTCTGGGTTTTAGAAAAAAGCTAGAACCCAAATTCTCCCAGAAACAAGACGGCAAAAAAGGACTTGAAAAAATAAAAATAAAAATCTCAGCACTGATTTTAGCCAAGCTCATGATTTTTAAGGGTCTGACTCAGGAATTTTGAAGGCAAAGCTGCTTGGACAGATTTCCTCTTTTCAAGAACCCCCTGCTGAGCAGACGTGTTCCATCTCCAGGCTTTCGTTGTGAAAGGGCTGCACCACGTTATTTATAAACACAGGGGAATATGGTTTCCATTGCTTTCAAAAATGATTTCCTGCTTCCTGCTTAACCCCTGGCTGCTCTTCTGGCATAACACATGTCAAATCAACACCTTTTAAGAGCAGTACTGATATTGAGGAGAAGGTGCATAGGATCTGGATTTATTCTACATGCCCTTTATTAGAGATCCTTACAACAGAATAATAAACCAGTTTTGTTGCCAAATTGGTTTCTGCACGAGGACACTGACCTCTGCTTTCTTACCATTTGGCCTGGAGTGCTTTGTGATCCTGGGACATCTTTTTATTTCAGACCCGTTGGTACTAGGGTTTTAAAATGACCTACTTATCAGTTGCTTGCTCAACTAGAAAATCAAAAGGTTGGCTATAAAAAGTGCAATTATCTTATTTAGTGTCCAGAAGAGCAGAGGAAGCCAACTACCACCAGGGGGCATAAAGGAAATACAGGGGTTTGGCCTGCAAGGGCCTTCAAAAATGGCTAGGTATAATTCAGTCCCTGGTAAATTGACTGTCTGTGCTCTGCTGTTCCTCTTATGCCTCCATCCCTCTCCCTTTTTCTTTTAATTAACAAACTTTAAATATATATGCATAGCCAAATCGCTCCATTCCCTGAGCTGTCAGGAAAATACAGAAACAAAACAATCCACTGGCATTTAATGCACCTTTTTCTTAAAACAAAAAAAAAAATCCCAGATGGACATGAAGTATGGAAATGCAGGTATTTTTGGACTGGTCAATTAAGCTCTGGGACTTGCTGTTTCAAGACATCACTGAGGTTGAGATGCTGACATAATTGTGAATATTATAACTAGATTTGGAAAGGAGAGACACGCTAGTGTGGTGGTTCTCAACCTTTCTAGGTTCAAATCACCCCTTGGAAAATGTCAGCTCTGAGTCTTCACTTGTTTTTTGACAAGATAAAAATAAGAGAATAATTCTTCTGTTGCAAAGAACTCAGAAAGACCACAACAGAGCAGACTATCTTTAACACTATGGTTTCCTATTGGAAATTGCTGTGGCACCCTGGTTGAGAAGCAGTGCTCTAGTGTATCAAGGCATAAGTTGACTTTTCACAATTGTAAGTCAGGAGGAAATGCATCCATAATTTCCTACTGGAGGGTGCCTTTCTCTGAAGTCACTGATGTTGCCTGCTGTTGGAGGCAGGGTATTGGACAGAATGGGTCATTGGTCCAATTCGGCATGGCGATTCCTGTGTTTTGCACAACAGCTGGAGATCAAAGAGCACAGGTAGGAAAAAGTCTGAATAGCAGAGACACAAAACCAGAGTTCCTACCAAAAGCACCACATGCAGCAGAGACCATGTCATTGTCCAAGGCTGCCTCCAGGTAACCCCATCATTGGGACTCAGTGCAGCAGTCTCACAAAGACATGTAAACCTCTAGTTCCAGGAGAACATCTTTGCATTTGAAACTCAGGGTCATAGGGAGATGGGGCCATCTCTCCCAGGACCACACACTAGAAACATCCTGACACAGCTGTAGCATCTGATGAAGGTAACCACTCTTTCACATCTTTAGGGAATACAAGCCTCAGACAATGACCACTATTATTTTCCAGATGTTAATTTTGCTTAAGCAGCTGCTTCCATTTCATTCTATGGTAGGACAGAACTGTATTCTGTAAAAACTTGGCTAAAGACAGGAACATCTATTCAATTGCTGCCTGTGTTCAGATGACCCTCAGTTTAACTATTGTACATTATTATGGTATGGCTTCTCGTAAAGCAAAAACTTCCTGACATCTTTAGGCCTGAATGATCGTGTACTGAGCTGAAAGTCAGGAAAGAACTATATGCATTTTCCTCTGAGAGTATGGACAGTTGGATTTGATGGAGAAAATGGCTTGAAATGAATGTCAAGGGTTTGGGGTCAGGACTCCTGGGTTCTATTTGTGGCTCTGGGGTGGGTTCATCTTGGTGGTTAGAGGAAGTGAATGGAGTCACTAATTTTCAGTCTTGGTTCTGCCAATGACACTATGTGATAAATTGGCCGTGCCTGGTTTCCCTATCTACCCCTAGCGAGCATTTTTGAAAGGCCTCCAATCTCCATTCAGGGAAAGTGCTTCAGCTGTGCAGAGTGTTGCCCACATGCTAGAATGGGCATGTACAAATGAGAGAGAATAAAGCCATTGACTCAGCTGCATTCCAGCTTTTCCCAACCTCCCCATAAAAACATGCTCTTGTTTTGAAAAAGGAAGAGGAAGGAGCAAGATGGTGGCACAGAAACGGCAGGGTTGCAAACGTGTGATTGGGAAAACGCTTCCAAGTCCTGTTGCTGACAGACAACTGCTGTGGCATTCCCAGCACCTGGCTTCTGGAAGGATGAGCCTTGCCTGCTAGACTGGCAGGTCTACCTGGGCGTGCTTTGTTTAATATGGCTGCACATGACTGAGACACTGAAGTGTCCAGTTTTCTTTGGAAAAGAAATCTACAATCTGAGGTCTCTGGATGCACGGCTGGAGTTGGGAGTGAGGGGGTAGAGCCACAGGTGGTGAAAACTGCTGTACGTCCACAACTCTCTGATCCTTTCTATTAACCAGGTTTCTAGCCCTCGATTTTTGTTTCATCCACTCTAGTTATACCGCCGCTGGCTGTCCTAAACAGCTTCCCTCCCTTTTCTCCTTGATTGTTTACTAGGGCTGTGTGAAACACCATTGTTTCATGAGGTCCGTTTTGCAGGGACAGTGTTTAGTTTCATTGTTTCGTTTCATTTCAAAGCACTGTCCTGTTTCGTTTAGTTCAAACTGTTTCACTGTTTCGACTCATTTTGCCCATAGGCTATAATGGGGAATCATGAAAATGCATAAAAATGTTGTCATTTGTTGCCTGATTTGGATGCAAAGTGTAGGGATGGTAGCCCCTTCTGCAGGCATGAAGCCTGCCAAGTTTCAAGGAGATAAGCGCAGAGGTTTCTTGGAAACTGCACCTCAAAGTCTTGAAAGCAAAATTGGCTAGTAGCGGCAGCCTCCTGTCATCCGGCATTCAGATCCGGGGGCCTGCGGGGCTGTGCCGGACTCCTCCCAGGGCTGCGGGCCCCTGGATCTGCACCGGATGACAGGAAGCTGCAGCTCCTGCCTGGGACCAGCGCTGGGCACAGCCTGCACCCAGCACTGGGCTCCGTGGCGCTCAGCCCAATGGCAGGAGGTGGATCGCAGGTCCAGCTCTGCTCACCTCCCGCCGCCGGGCTGCGTTCCAGTTGCCTCGGCCGGCCCCACGGAACGGGCGGGAGGCGGGCAGAGCTCCCTATTAGGCTGAGCTAGATGGGGCTGCAGAGCCGCTCAGAGCGCAGCCCTGGCTCTCCCCTGCCTCTCACCACTGGGCTGCTTCAAAACTAGAAACGTTTCGAAACTTTCAAAACGTTTCAAGTGGCCTCATTTTGTTTTGAAGCTGTTTTGATGCTTTTTGTTTCATTTAGATTTTGCTATTTCGAGCTCGAGACACGTCAAAACAGCTTCAAAACGAAATACTTGGCAAAATTTCTCACAGCCCTACTGTTTATACCCTTTAAAATGCTTCTGAGGCACGGTTCTTCAAACCACAGACCCTACCAGCTAATGCATCTATTTCTTTTGTTTCCACAGTACTGGATTGCCATTTACATTAAAAATTTACTCCCTGCAAAGTCCCGCTTGCTTTGAAATGAGCAATTTCTCCATTGCAGAGCAAAGGCAGACAAGCTGGCTCTCACTCATTATTTACTCTCTCCAGACCCCAGAGTAGATCTTTGAAGGAGTCATGCACAATGTAGCAGGACATACGGTGCTACCACCCACCTCTCATTGACTTGTTCTTTTAATGAATCTATGTTTTCTTGGAACCAATAGCACAAATACTGCTCTGTTGGAATTGATTGCAGCTCTCTCCCCGGTGCCTTTTGTACTCAAGGGATCTCAAAGGGCGTTAGGAAAACATCAGGCTGCGAGAAACGTATTCTTGTTTATGAGCTACTTCAAAAGGTGCCTGTTCCCCATTCA